TTCACCTTTGATTGCAATTTTGATAATCATCGCAATATTTTAATTATTATCTTGGCTAGGGTGACGCTTCATGTGAACGATCTCGGGAAATTTGATTTATGTCTTCCCCACGGACATTTGCATTCAATGGTTATGTTATCTTATTTTTTTATATTTCATTCATTTATTTATTTGATGATTGCTTTTGTGGTCAGCCGATGATCGAACACCATTTACAAACCCGAGGAAGAAAACACATGCTAGGAGAATGGAAGGCAGATGAAATTACAAAGTCGATTATCGCTCAGTGATCAAAAACATTTTTGCTTTTTGTTCAACAAAAGCTAAATAAAAAAAAAAACAAAAAAACTGAATCATTTAGAATATGAGCTCTGCTGATATATATATATTTTTTTATTGCGTTAATCTAGGACGAAGAAAGCCAGTGTATTACCCAAGATATCTCGCCTAAAATGCAACTGTTTGAGATATTTTTTTATTATATGTATGGTGCTGTTTATAGGGATTCTTTAAAAGTCGGCAAACTTGAATCTTCATGCACACAAAAAACAGTATCACAAGGGTGGCTTTCGCATTGTCTCCTCTAATATTTTAACTATTTTCTCTCCTCGACAATTCTTTTAAATTTATTTTAATAAAACCTAAACATGAATGTAAATTTATATATTTCAATTGTTCTTCAGAAGAACCAATAAAAATAACTAACATTATTTATTAGATAGTTTATTGACACTATTTATTTATATTGATTATTGGAATGGTTGGTAAAACATCGTTTAATTTCCAATCGATTCGAAATTTGTAAAATGCTAAATAAGGATTTCCTTATGATTAATTCACATATTTTCGTAATTTCGTAAATGCTTTTTAAATTTATGAATGTTTTTTTTTTTCATATTTATTTTTTATGAATTGATAATTGATAAATATTGTATTGCTGTACTTTAAATCGAAACGTATTAGCTTTAAGAATGCTGCAAATATAGCATTGTTGTTGTAAATAAACAACATAATAAATATTTTTGTAGTAAATTCTGAAGAAAAATATATAAATACACTTTCGTGTGTCT